TTAGTAGGTAAGTCCCTAGAAACAAAGCATCTGCCTTTTTGGATATTTCCAGTTTTTATTCCATTTATGTTTTTTATGGATCATTCTCCACTCTGAAGATCCAGCCCACAGAAACCGGATACTCTGCTTACATTTAAAGAATCGATTTCCTCTAACCTGGTGGTCTGGTGGTGCCTTTTTATTCAATATCAGAAACTTTGTAACCAAACAATTATTAAATAATGAAGCTCAAAAAATATGATATGATCCCACTTATGCAAAAACACTAATATGAATAAAGAAAGAAGGCAAACAGAGATGAATTCATCTCTACTGGTATGTAGGACTGTTCATATATTTTGTCAAATTTTAGAAATTACAAGATAATGCATAGAGGATGTTTCTTCTTTTATAAAAACAAAACATATGTCTTACACATATGCCATTTTTTATTATAAATTCATATGAGCCAGGACAAATCTATGAATATTTACAGATCAAGTTCTTCTACTGATAATTCAACAAAGTGGCATTGGAAGGAGGACAGGGGGTGATGCCTACCTTTGTGTTATATATAAATTTGTCTCATTTATTACCAAGGTAACTTGTAAAATATTACTCCCCAAAATCCTTTCAGGGCATAGGAATTCTCTTTTTTTAAAGGAAAATTCTCAGATATAATGAAAAGAAATGTGCAAAAGAGGAACAGCACAGGGTGATAAAGGCCAGAGAAACAACTGGCATTTCTCACCAGAAAAGGCCCATGTGCTGGGGCCACATCCAGGATAGTTCTTCAATGGATCTTCTGTAGAGAATTCATGTTCACCTTTGGGAGGAGGGCCTACGAGTAGTGACAGAGGGCAATGTCACTCCCAAGCCACTCTCCCCTCTGTTCATGCCCACAAGGGCCCTCTCTGGGGGAAGCCTCCTCCTGCCCCACCCAGCCATGGCCCACAGGCTCCTCGGCTGTATCACCCTTTGTCTCCTGGGAGTAGGTGAGTCCCCAGAAATAAGTATTCTGCATTTTTAAAATATTCCCAATTCTGATTCCTTTTATGTTCCTTATCTTGTTCCCAAACTCTGTCCACTTCCTCAGGGCTCTTAGATGCTGGAGTCACCCAGACACCCAGCCACAAGGTGACAAAGATTGGACAAGAAGTAATCCTGAGCTGTAAACCAATTTCTGGCCATGACAGCCTTTACTGGTACAGACAGACCTCACTACAGGGACTGAAGTTTCTAACTTATTTCCGTAATCAAGCTCCTATTGATGAGACAGGGATGCCCAAGGATCGATTCTCAGCTAAGATGCCTAATGGATCATTCTCCACTCTGAAGATCCAGCCCACAGAAGCCGGGGACTCAGCCGTGTACCTCTGTGCCAGCAGCTTAGCCACAGTGCTGCAGAGTCATCTCCTCCCAGTGCAGAAACCCTCCTGTTTCCCCTTCTCACCCCAGCCATCCTCAGCGTCTTTCCAGACTCAACTGTGTCAGAGCATGGGCCTGGGTTTGGTGTTCTACCTCTCCCTATGGAAGACAAGAACTGTGAAAGGGCCATTATCTAGGCTGGATTATCTCAGTTCATGATTAGTGGTTGTGCCTTTGCCTTCATTATCAGAATGTTTAAATGGTACCATGGCTATATCCTCAGATCTGCTCATTCCTTTCCAATTTCTTCTAAACCCCTCTCATGGTAACTTTTCCATAACTGTGCTCCTATTTGTAACAAAACACCTTTCCCCCCACATTTTCAGAGGTCTTCTTTTTGAAAAACTTATTATTTGAAAATAGTTGCAGATTCATAGGAAGTTGCTAAGTAAACAAAGGAATCCAGTATACCCTTCATCCAGTTTCCACCAATGGTTGCATCTCCATAATTATCTACATAATAAAAGCCCAGTGACCATTATGGTGGAACAACCAGAATGACAGATCAATAGCTATGATGCACATTGACTACCAGGGGGCAGACACTCAATGCAGGAGCTGCCCCCTGGTGGTCAGTGCGCTCCCACAGCTGGAGTGCTGCTCAGCCAGAAGCCTGGTTCATGGCTGGTGAGCCTCCACAGCAGCACTAAGGAGCTGTGAGCCAAGCAGTAAAGAGTGAGCAGGTGGATGGTTAGGAGTGAAGGGTCCCAGATTAAGAGAGGGCGCATGCCAGGCTGAAGAACAACTCCCCTCCCCCCTGCATGATTTCATGCGTTGGGCCTCTAATACTAAAATATTAAGACCAGGAAATCGACATTGGCACTAAGTGTGCAAGCAGTTCTAAGTAATTTTTTTATTGTTGACAGTATTACAGATATCTCCCACCCCCCCAACCCACCTCTGCCTCCCTCTACCCAGCCCCCTCCTACCCCTGCACCCCAGGCATTCATCACATTATTGTCTGTATCCATGGCTATGCATATATGCATATATGTTTTTTGGTTGATCTTTTTCAGTCCTCTCCACCTCCCTCCCCTCTGAGATCTGACAATTCTAAGTCATTAAATATAGTCTTATTTTTTAAGGAAACTACCCAATTATTTTCCAGCATGACTGTGCCATTTTACATTCCTAGACATTCACTTTTAATACCAGTAATTTCAACTTGCATGTAACATTTCACTTTTTTCATCTCCAAAACACACATGCAAATAACTAGAAGAATAGAAACTTGGTAGATCCAGGTACACTTTTCTTTGGATGTGTTTTAACTCTTCCTAAATATTTGAATTCTTTCTATCCCTTATCTAACTGGAAGTCTGCCTGTTCAATGCAAGCCATCACTGGCCACTGCTGTCTGAACACCACATCACCTGTCCTAGAAAGCCACCTGGTTCATCAAGATAGCATCGAAGGTACACCTTAATTAATTCACATAATTAAACAAAAACATGTATAGGGCATCTGTTACATTTCAGACACATTTCAAGACCTTACATTTTGTTCTAAAAGGATAAAAATTATTCACCCGGCCACCAGAACCAGGAAAGTAAGTTGCATTCTTTACTTTGGTCAACATTTTTTGTGAACATATGAGAAGATACCTATTTAAATGCAGAAACAGGTCAAGGTTGTTGGCAACTTATTGGCATTGGTTTTTCATCACCCTCAAAGGATAAACTTGTTCAGAGAAACTTTGCTCTTCCTTCTATGCTTCTTCTTCCCTAGAGGGCGCTCCTGAGACAATAGGCATTGGTTGGTATGGTGATGTCATTGCCAGGACACACCTTATGGCGCCAAGGGGACACAGATTTGCTCTCATTTTTGCTCATACTTACAAGTTCTGTCATCGGGAAAAGTTCTTACTTTTATTTGGATCCTGCCATGGTGTGCAGGCTTCTCAGTTTAGTGTGCCTTTGTCTCCTGGGAGCAAGTATGTCCTTGTACGTTTGAATATCTCCACTTTGCCTTTGCCCAGTCCACTCTTGTCATGTGTTCTATGTTCCTGTCTTTTCCCACAGGACACACATCGGCTGGAGTCACTCAGTTTCCCAGCCACAGGGTTATAGGGAAGGAACAGGCTGTGACTCTGAGATGCGACCCAATTTCTGGACATGAGACTCTTATGGTACCAACATGCCATAGGGAAAGCAATGACATTTCTGGTCCCCATCCTGCGAGAGTATGTACAGGACAAATCAGGGATGCCTGCCGGTCGGTTCTCAGTGGAGTGGACCAAAGGGACATTTTCCACCATGAAGGTCCAGCCTGCATGGCCAGAGGACTCCGGAGTCCTCTGTGCCAGCAGCCTCAACCCAGTGCTTCAGGGTCACGCCCTTCCTGTGCAAAACAGCACCCTCTCCCCAACCCTAGAAGAAGTAGTCCCCTGAGCATAGGAGAGGAGAGGAAAAACCGGAATTAACTCTTGAAATACAAGAATATTTGTGATACATTTGTGATCTGAGGCACATCTGGGGCTCCTCACACAGACCTCAGACTACCATTTCTGTTTCTTAAGTGTGTATGCGTTACCCTGGTGTAATTCTTGCCAACTCGCTGTTATGATCTGAAAGAAATTGTGACTCTGTGGCCATATTCTCATATTCCTGCTTATCATAATTTAAATGTCTTCCTAGTGAAATAAAAATAGTGAATCAAATCTCATTTATTGCTGATTTTTAGGTTGCTCCCTAATAGTGCTGGCAATGACACTAAGTTTTGGTTACATTTGTACAGCACAAATCTATCACCAAATACTTTTTTAAAATCTCAGATTTGAGTGGAATAGCCAGGTCACCCACTATAGATTAAAACTAATTTTCCTTTCTCCATATGGTCTGAGTTTTTAATGGAAAAAAAATGGATTAGCATGATATGTAAATATGTGTCAACTAACATTTTTGAGGTCAATTCCAGTTGTCACGATAGGGCCATGTTATTTTTAGTGAGGCTTGCCAGTACCCTGGTGTTGTGCTTGGTTTGAGGGATATGGATCTAGTAGGAGCAGAACAATGTCACCTCTCACCGGATTGCTCAGACCTTTGGCCAATGCAGGAAGGCTGTTCTAGAAACTTTTCTACTGGCCACAAGGAGGCATTATGGTGTCACCATAGCCAAAAGTTGTAGAGGATTTCCTTGATATGCTCTGAAAAGTGGATAAAGATAGAGGAATTCCAGAAATTGATTTCTATATTAAGGTTGGGCTGGTTGGCAGATACCTTTCATTCATCAATGATGTGGATAATAAAATAAAGACATTAGCTCAATAGGTTTATCAGCTAGACTGGAGCAAAAGCTATTCATTTGTTGAGGAACCTCTGAACTGCTTTTAGGATGTAAGTAAGGAGGAATGAGATGGAGATGGATGAACGTGGGGCAGATATTGGAAGCAGGACAGATAAGAAAACATCATATTTGCTTCATACCTGACCCAGCCAAGCCCAGGCCCCTGCCAAGTAGGAAGCTGTGCATAATATCACAAGAAGGGACCCATCCTTGGTGATGTCAACATCAGCACTGCCATCACAGGTAGACCGACCTATCAGAGACCATGGACTCTCAGAGCTCCCACCTCTCAACCCAGTGATCAGAGTGTGGAACAGACAGATGCCCCATTCCTGTTCTGGCCCTGCCATGGGTCCCGGGCTTCTCCACTGTGTGGCCCTTTGTCTCCTTGGAGTAGGTGAGTCCTGGTCAGAAGCACAGCTTTTATTAAAGCCATGATGTCCTCAGTTTTGTACCTTTCTTTTATGGCAGCAACATGAGTTTCCCTCTTGTCTCTAAATGTTTCTTCTTTTTCTGCAGGTTACATGGGTGCCATAGTCACCCAGAACCCAAGATACCAGGTTACCAGGATGGGAAAACCAGTGACCCTGAGTTGCTCTCAGGACCTAAATCATGATGTCATGTACTGGTACCAACAGAAGCTGAACCGAGCCCCAAAGCTGCTGTTCTACTACTATGATCAGGATTTTAACAATGAAACAGACACCTCAGACAACTTCCAACCCAGCCGGCCTAATACTTCCTTCTGTTCTCTGCGTATCCGCTCACCAGGCTTGGGGGACTCCGCAGTGTATCTCTGTGCCAGCAGCAAGTACACAGAGCTAGAGCGTAAGCTCTTCTCTGCTCATAAACCTGTTTCCAAATCCAAGAGCCCTCTCTAGACACCCCCCACCCCCATCACACACACACACACAACAGCAATAGGAAGTGGGTTTATGGCTGCCATTATCTCCTTTGCAGTTGGAAGTTGGGCCTAAACCTACAAAAACCATTGACAGTTAAACCAAGAGTGGAAAGGTGGTTATCCTCACCTGACATTCAGTTTGTGGTGTTTTCCCAGAATCACTTTAATCACCCATTCTGTTCTCTTCAGTAGAAAAATAGTGACATTGTTATTGTTGTTGTTTTTTAATCTAAGTTGGGGACTTAGCAATATATTAAAGGGCAGGCCCAGGCAGGAAGTAGACTCCTCCCACGAATCCTCTCCCTAAGGAGAAGAATGTGCCCTCATAGGCATGTCCAGACCATCTCACAGGTTTCTTATCAAGTAAGGAGAATTAGAACTACTGAGAACTTGTTCCAGATTGAGAGACATGTATTGCCTGGGGCATGCATTATTCATAACACGTCTAACTATTTTGCCTGATGTAAATCTATGACTATTTAAGTGGCACAGATAGGACTCATATCAAAAGCTAGATGTGGGGCCTTGTAAGATATATTAAAATTACAGATACATTAAAATTACTAGAGTTTGCTCTATATGCATTAAGTAAGGTCCTCCAAGAATTAGATGCCAAGCCTGGGTTAGAAAATGCCTATGAGAGAAAATGGGAAGGAAGCTGAGGAGGCTGAGAGAACCATCAGACCAAGATGCAAATCTGACCCTCATGAGGAGAGAGGGAAGGAGAAAGGGAGGAAAAAAAAACAAGGCCTGGTTGGTGTGGCTCAGTGATAGAGTACCGACCTATGAACCAGGAAGTTATGATTCAATTCCTGGTCAGGGCATGGCCCCGATTGTGGGCTCGATCTCCAGTAGGGGGCATGCAGGATGTAGCCGATCAATGATTCTCTCTCATCACTGATGTTTCTATCTCTCTCTCCTTCTCCCTTCTTCTCTGAAATCAATAAAAACATAATTAAAAATAAAAAAAGAAAAGAAAAAAAAGCAATGAAGGAAGAAAAGGAGGACATAGGTTGCAGTATAATTGTAAGAAAAGGTCAGTAAGGCCTGGCAAGTCCTTAAGTCCAAGTCAAGCACGCCTGTGGCCTGCCTCTCTCCACGGACAGAACTCTACACACCAGCTCCAGAGTGAGGGGCAGGGACAGTGTCCCACTTCTCTGAGAGTGATTCCCTGC